AAAACAGAAGAAAATCAAGGTCTTACTGTGGAGCCCTCCCTGCAATTCACTGTGTAGACCAGGCTGGCCTTGAACTCAGACCTGAGCGCTGGTTAAAGGTGTGCACCACCATGCCGAGCTCTGCCCCCCTTTGATGCACATCCACTGTAGTAATAGGCACATCCCTACACCCTGCCTCTGAGGGTTTCCAGTGTGTCACTTGCAGGGTCCACTCTTCTAAACAGTAAAAGGTCATCTCTCCCTTTCTACTCTTACCTCAGTGACTTCCGATGCTTTTTGCAAGGGACTGACTCTGTCTTTGTTTTATTGAGACAGGGTCTCCCTACGAGGCCAAGTCCAGCTGGTGATGCCTTGCCCTAGTGTCTCTCAGGTGCTGGTGCTTCAAGCATCTGCCACCAAGCCCATTTTTTAACATGTGACTCTTGGCATGAGTTAGTGAACAAATATTTACATAGAACTGTCAGTTCTGCCAGGCCTTGTATCTAAAAGGCAGTTAAAAGCCTAACAGTGGCTCCTCCCTCGAGCTGCCTACAGCCTCACAGAAAGGAGATAAATAATCCTGTCTACCAATTGACTGAACAGTTGCTCTTAGGGAACTACACTGATGGAGAAGAAAATTCAGAGTAGGGTAGAGCAAGTGCAAAGGGTTTCCAGCCTCCTTAAGGGACAGGCAGGGTTAATTTTGGATGCCAATCCCACTGCGGAACACTGCCCATTGTATCGTGAACTCCAAGTAGAACACTGTATGCCTGCTTTCTATAGCAATGTGCCGCATGGACTAAAATGAAAATGAGCTGTGGTAGTCATTTACATATTGATATCTCCAGCAATGCTTACCATCAACACTATTTCCAAATAACTAGGAGAGGGTTGGGATGTTTGTGAACACACACACACACACACACACACACACACACACACACACACACAGACTGAGAGAAGGTGGCAGGGATTAGGCTAGCCTCATTTGATCAATGCACAGTCCACATGTATTGAATGTAAAAACATAATGTGTTCAGTCATTATGTTGTAGTTAAGTAGATTAATAGCATTTTACCTTAAGAAAAAAACCCCTGAGATAGCCTCTAGCTAGGTAAAATGGGAAAGGCTTACCTCCGACTCTATGAAGTAGTCATGGGGTTTCAACACATCATGGTGTCCATATACAGTTTGGGGGTATCTGAGGGAAGACACTCCCTGTCTTAGCTGGATGTATTTCAATTTAAAACTCTTCAGGTCACCCTCCATTGCTGAAGGAAGTCAGGGCAGGTAGGTACTCAGACTTCGGGAACCTAGAGGAAGGAGCTGATGCAGAGGCCGGTCATGGAGGAGTGCTGTGTACCTGTTTGCTCCCCATGGCTTTATCAGCCTGTTTTGTTATAGAACCCAGGACCACCACCATCCCAGGGTGACACTGGCCACATCAGTCATCACAGGCTTGCCCACAGTCCAGTCACACCAAAATGACTCTAGCTTGTGTCAACTTGACATAAAAACTAGCCAGCACTGACCCCTTTTTAAAAGCTGAGATTTTTTTCTCTCTAATGATTACAGAAAGATCACTTGTCCCCTAGTTTACAGTATGTTTAACCACAAGAGCTTAGGACAAGTAGGAATGGACTTCTGAGTTGTTTAACCCTGAGATGCTTCCCTTCCGACGGGCGACTTTCAGATCCCTTGGATCCGGGTACAGCGCACCCCACTGTGTTCAGCCTCGGAGTGTTTTCCCCTGGCTGTGTTTCAGTCATCTCCCCGTCTTAGAGGATTTGTCCCTCGAATCTAGCGCCATCTCCTCCTGCTCCGGCTGTGAGAACGGAGGTGAAGATGGGCAAGTTTCTCTGTGTAGTGCTGAGTATGATGTGCCCTTGGCTTCTCACTCATCAAAATGAGAACTGTGAAGGTGTCTCGACGGTGGCCTTCACTGCTGCTCATAACTCGTGTGTTGAGAGCTGCGGGAACGTGTTAAACCAATGTGTAAAGATAGTTACACATCTCAAACTGTCTCTCTTCCTCTGAGTTTGAAAAACTTTCCCCTCCTATAGAAACAGAAGAGCTGAGAGCCCAACATTTCGTCGTCTTGTAAGATCTTAGGAGTAAACTGTCTTGGGGCTCTTTATATTGATTCGATTCATTTACCGGGTACATATGATCTTTACCCCATGCTCAATGCTGGTCCCTTAATATGAATTCCTCCAATTAGGAAAGAAATCTTTTAAGGATCTTGTCAAGTTTGTATGCTTTTACTGCCTGAGTTTATGGAGGAGGACATGACCGCACACGGAGGCCCGTGGCATTAGCTTTTTATTCCTCATACCCAGTTCTCCCTTTCCTGCCTTTGTGATCAAGAACACTTGTTCTGTGTTTGACCAGCTCAGTTTCTGCATTCCCTACTTGGTAACAGTTCTTCACTGATTTGAGTTCTAGAACTTACCTTACTCCGATGTGAAGTTGTCCACCGCACGCCATCTCCGAAAGAAGATGTCTCCAGATTCTGTGACGCTGTATTCTCAGTGTGACGGTGTACATTGTACAGTGTACATTGGATGGGTACCTAATTCTGGTTCGGATACACACACCCAATTTGACTGGACAGAAAGCATCATGTTTAGCTAGCTGTGTTGTTGAAAAATAATAATAGTCTGTTTAACAAGCTCATAATATTACTAATAGCAAACTGTATTATACACTTTTAATTATGGACTGACTTATTTGCCCATAGCACAGGAGCAATCATTTGCTTTTGTTTGACTTACCTTTGCTGTCTAAGAAATAAAATGTGCAGTGTACCCTGTCCGTGCCCTAGCAGTCTCTGAAGTGTGAGAAACCTTTAAAGCGGTGAAAGGGAAAGCTGGAAATTTTAGAAAGATCAGTGTGGACTTGGGAGTCAGGAAGTCCCAGTGTAACTGTGACGATGTCTTGGGCTAACTGTGGTGATGTCCTGGTGTAGTCTGCCGAGGGCCTGGCATAACTGTGGTGATGGCCTGGCGTAACCATGGTGATGTCCTGGCGTAGCTCTGCCTGGTATAAATATACAGGTACCTGAACTCTGTAAGCTCTTACTTTAGAAGATGTCACCTTGCAGATTCCCGAATAGTGATTTAGTATTTACACCTGAGAAATGGAGAGGGAAGTGTCACCTCAGGGGTTGGATGGTTTTAGCTTGGTGACATATATCTACACCTGATTTATGTTCATTCTTTAGGTGGCAGTGGTCTAATTACTTGCCGCTTAGTGTCCAGAATCATATTAGGGATTTTTTTTTGAAAAATACAAAATGGAGCATACCACCCGCAGATCCCATTATTCTTTGAGCAAAATCCAAGTGTGTTAGCGTGGCCTACCTGGATTACATAAGATCCAGACTTACTCATTGCAGCCAAGTTCACTTGCCTACTGCTGATAGACAAAATAGCCCCTCCTTTGCACACACCCTTCTATATCAGACGGCCCCACTCTAGCAGATATGACTTCTGTCCATCCTTCAGATCTGAGCTGAGTAAGTCTTTCTTCCCAAAAGCCTTCCCTGAACTTTCCAGACAAGGTTGTGTCCTTGGTTTTGTGTTGCTATAGCCCTGAACTTTTTACCCAAAAGTTATCTCCCTGTGTGATAGCAAATTGTTTAATTTCTCAGCTATTCTGCAGGCTCCCTGAAATGGGGCAAAGGTTGTCTTGTTCACCTGGCCATAGTGGGCAGATGCCTAAATGAAAGTTAAATACCTTTTCAAAATATGAGATAGTCAGTGGTCATTTAGTTCTCAGAGTATACACAGCACACTGCTTACTGTCCTTAAACAGGGCACCCTGTGAAAGTGATCATCTTGGATCCTTAGTCAGAGGAATGGAATTCTTTTAGAGTTTTTATGAACAGATACCAACACATCCATGGCTTTAAATTCTTAGGTGTCTGCAGCAGACTCATTTCTCAAGGTCCAAACTCAGACAGTCTGAAGACCTGAGTTTTCAATAATGCATGAACCTAAACATTATTTTTAGGGTGGCAAGGAATCTACCTATCAACCATGAACTCTATTTAAAGAAAACTTGCTTTATACATGGTTAAGGATTTTAAAATATTTGGAAAGTAATTTACATTCTTTATATCTTACCAGTGATTATAAACACAGCCAGTTTTGAATCATGGAAGTACCTTTTTTCTTAAATATTCTATGAATTTTTGTTGAATTTTTCTTTTAAATATGTCTTGAAAGAATACTGTTTTGGGGGTGATGCTTAAGGTGGTCAGACCTAAAACATATGCAGACTAGCAATGATAAACAAATTTAGCAGTCTATTTATATGTGTTTTCATATGTAGGTATATGTGTAACAATAACAAAAAGAGGTCATGAATTTGAGAGGGTGGAGGCATGGGAAGTGTTGGTGGTGGTGGCACACACCTTTAATCCTAGCACTCAGGAGGCAGAGAAAGGAAGATCTCTGAGTTCGAGGCCAGCCTGGTTTACAGAGCTAGTTCCAGGATAGCCAGGGGTGTTACACAGTGAAACACTGCCTCAAAAACCAAAAGTAAATAAAGTTAAGGAAACTTTCAAAGTAAGTCTATACTTGCATAGATGTCAAAAATAAATTAAGATGCATATCATCCTTGCAGTGTTTATTAGCACCTGTGGATAAAAGCCCTACTGACATATTCACAATATTAGATTGAATATTATGTGGCAAGAAGTAAGAAGAAAAATTTCTAAGATTATCTTTTCATCCTTCAATCTAAAAATGTTAATAAATTTAGGATATAGAGCTTTCCCACAATGTGAAGCTTATAGCTTACCTTGTTGTATTTATAGTAGATGTATTCACTGTAATGAAACACCACAGAATACTCAAAACAGAAAGTTAAAAATAGAAGGAAAAAAATCCATGTATCTAATACATATATGTGTTTTCAACTCAAAAAATTTAACAACTCGTTTGAATATTTAATGTGTAGAAATAACTAGGAAAATGAGAATAAAAAAGAGGCAGAATAGATATGATCATATTTCATGATATTTATGTGTGAAATTCTCAAAGAATAAAAAATGAAATTCAAAAAAAGGCTAATATTGTTGGTGCCTTATATGGGATTCCAGCTCAGAGTGTTTGAGGGTTGGGGAAGCTGAAGATTCATCCAGGGTTTTGTGTGCTAGGCAAGCACTGTACTGTGTCCTCACTTAACACCATGTCAGTTTTGAGTTTTAGCTTCTATGGGAACTTAAGTACATATACTATTCTGAATTTGAAAAAAAATAGTAAAATGACTTTAGCCAGGTGTACCATCTAAATGGGATTTGAGGGCGAATTCTCCTAATTTTGAAGCTGCTTAGATTGTAGCTCACAATTCTTGATATAAGAAAAAAAAGTGAAATAATTTTACGGGTCTGGAGTATACTCCACCAAATGAGTCGATCTTACAAACAAAAAACCTCTTTTGATTACGAGGTCAGTACCGATGACTCAGTGCTGCTTGGGAGTGTGTTACATTAACTGAGTTCATGAGAGTGAAACTCACTGGTAAAGGGATGACAAATAACTTCCTGACTTTACAATTACACTGTCCTTGGATGAGCAAGAGTCCTGTAACGACCCTCCAATCTCGCCTTGCCTTCAGCTATGAAGGAATGGGTGTGTTGTCTGTGTGGCATATAAATACATTTTGAACTCTCTGGACTTAAAAGCAATGATTGAAGGAACCTCCACCGCCCAGTAAAGGGGAAACAGTGTCAGGGTTAAGCATTAAGCCAACAGCAAGCGTGGGGCAGGGAGAAGGTCACACTGAGTAAATAATCAGCCCACATTCAACTGTACCTGGGCTGAACTGCTTCTGCGGCCGCCAAACACAAGCCAGTAACTAGGCAACAATGATTCGCACGCTCTGATCACTTCACTACAGTGACATGTCCAACCCCCACATTTCCAGGAAATGCCCTTCTTCTAAGTCACCGAGGACCAGGGTGAACACTCACCCTGCACTCGGGATCAGGTGACCCATGACTTGTTTCAGACCTTAGGAGGGACAAGCACAGATGGAGCGGTGAGAAGGAAGAGTTGAAGTAGGGAAGGGTGCTCAGTGAACCAGTCTTTCCATTCCCACAGAATGACTCATGGGGAATGAAATCTATTGCCTTTAGGGAGGGAAAATAGCGAGTTCCTAATTACTAGGAGGCCTGGAGAAGTGCTGGATCCAGATTCCCCATCAGTCTGCTAGGTTTCTGAGTTTAGCTTGTCGTTCCTCAGATGTGGACAGTGATGGTTCCTCCCACATGAAGTGGCTGTGCGAGTTGATGTCACTGGTTAGAAGTGCTGGGGCAATCAAGCAGCTGTTACCCTGTGTGCTCTGGAGAAGGGGCAGCCTCCCCCCACCCTCAGGCCCAACTGGATTAGGAAGAAAGGCAGGGAAAGAAGGCGCCGGTGGATGGGACTGTTTTCAACACATAAAGATACGTTGAGGTTTTGAGAACTCTGATTACAGAAATTGTAAGTAAATCACATCAAGAAAACTTTCCAAGGCGCTCCAGAATTCCATACTTTGGAATTCGGGTGTTGAAAAGCTACATTATCATTGCACCACGAGAATTTGTTTGGTGACTCCTCAGACTGTCTTAATATGCCAAAGGAAGAAGCTGACATTTGTTTTTTTTTTTTTTTCTTTCTGGTTTTATGCCTTGTGCTGCATCACACTTCTTTTGGTAAAATTTATGACGAAAAAAATGTAACAACACAAAGTAGCCACAGTAAGTCACATGAGATTCTAGGAGCTTCTATCTGATTGAGATGCAAATAGGCACACATGTGACTGACTCAGGGTACTTGAGGGTTTTGGTAAAATGTCATAGCCATTGTAGGTCCAGAATGGGGTGGAGGTATTTGACCGGGAACATTTTGTGGAATACAGACAGGCCTGGAGGACCACGGAGAAGGCTAGGAAGCCAGGGGCAGTACAGCCCCACCTGTCCTCTTTGGGTGTCGGCCTGACTTCCTGAATTTTGCTTTTGGAGGGAGGTGAGATGACAGGGAATCCTGTGAGGACAGTGAGTCACCCTGGGCCAGGAGTTGAGCTGGACCGGACGGTGTTCTGTGTCTACAGACCTGTGTGGGGGCTGGGACACTTAAAAGCAGAATGAGGAAGACAGGTGCAGCTCTCTTCCCACCGAGCTTGCAGCCTGTTTCCGTCAGGCCTGGGTGGAGTCGATGAGCAGGTAAAAATTTCTTAAGGAAGTGAGCACACACACACCCCTACCAACAGACAAGATACCCATGTACATCAAAGGGAGATAAGATTTTAAAGTACTTGAAAATGAAGGCAAGAGAGGTGGCTCAGCAGGTGTCCGTGTGTATGTGTGTGTGGTCAGCGTGTTCCGGTGCCTGCACAAGAGGGTGGCACCTCCTCTGGAGCTCATGTTAATGACAGCAGTAAGCTGATGTGGAGGTGCTGGGAACAGAACATGGGTCCTATGCTCTAACCACTGAGCTCTTTCTCCAACCTCAATTTTAAGTATTTTAGGGAAGGTTTCTTTTTCTAAAATATTTATTTCTTGTGAATATAACATTCTGCCTCCCATTTTTGTCTGCACATCAGAAGACGGCACCAGGATCTCATAACAGATGGTTGTGAGCCACCATGTGGTTGCTGGAAATTGAACTTAGCACCTCTGGAAGAGCAGTCAGTGCTCTCAACCTCTGAGCCATCTCTCCAGCCCCAGGAAAGGTTTCTTAAACATCAACTGTGTTGAACTTGTGCATGCTAATTAACAGTTTGCTAGGACTTAGCAGCACAGTACTTGTGTCTTGCTCTTTGGGGCTGGCCTCTGAGCTCACCCATTACCTCTGCGCTGTCAAACTTACTTATTAGCCATGTCTTGTTTTGGAAAAAACTTCAGCTTTTAGCTTCCACTTAAAATAATTTTCTTTAGTATTAGTGATTAACTTTTTTTCTCCAATGAGCCTGAATCAAGAAGTCTTTATTAAAATCTTAATTAGAGGCATATGTGGGAGAAATCATGCTCTAGAAGGAGAAGGAATGTTTGAGGCCAGCCTGGGCAAGACCTGTTTCAGGAAGCAACACCACTAAATAATGACATCTCATTTAATCAGATTCGTTCCCAGTGTGACAGGATATTTAGCATCAGATGTCCCACAAAGTTTCCCACCCCTTGCTCTATTCAGATTCCTAAGTAGTAATAAGTGGAACTCAGTGGGTGATTTTTATTCATGACTTAGTTCCCTATTTCCGTGGCTTCTTCTGTGTGATTACCCGAAGAATACAGACAGAAGACAAATGGTGTTTTAAATTGACACGGATCCATCAATTAACGTCATCCCTTCTTGTGGTAGGGAGAAGAAATTCAAGATTGGGGAGATTGTTTAGTTCAAAGTTTAGGGCAAAGTCTGTCTGGAAACCAGGTGTGGGATTCTAATGTGCTTCCATGCAAATAGGCCTGTTTTCTTTACTTCTGAGTGTAGCAAGGCCATACATAGTACTGGGTGAACTTTGGCTACTCCTTATCTTAATAAACCCATTTGAAACTGTGGTCCAAATATCCTGACAGCAAGCTAAATAATTCCAACATTAAAAAATTCTTGGGGGCTATCAAAGGTCTGACCGTTACCATACCTTTCCTTTTAAAGTGGAATTTTATATATTTACTAATCTATAAGCATGGCTTGCAGTCCAGGAAAACTGTCAAGTAATGAGACTGTACTAAATGAGAAAAACAAACCCAAAGCTGCTAAATGACCTAGCCTGGCTTGATTATGGTTTGAGATCAGGATGCTGGTGTGTAACCTCTGACCCAGAACCCTTCAGTGACACTGTTAGTTATTAAGTATCTTTAGCCACAAAAGGCATATGTCTGATGAGATTTTGGATACCTCTTCTGAAACAGAAATGACAGAATTCCCTACACGGTGTTGCAGGATGGGAGCTAAAGTCATACCAGTGTGGTCTTGCTGAGACAGTTTTGTCACATTAATTTCTTAACACCCTGCACAAGATCCCTGGGTGGTCTGTCCCTCCCTAGCAGGACAAACTCAACACTGGTTCTGCTTCTGTGGATAGAACATGTCTGCTTTGCCATTGGAAAACAAAAGTAGAAATGTTTGCGGAGGTGAGTTGCCCCAGCCTGGGGACCCCTGTCACCAGCGGAATGCCACAAACCCATTCCTCATTGGGGGACAAGTGGCCATAGGAACCTACTCGGCCTCTTTTTCTTTATTGTAGAACTCACGGTGATTTCTGTGTACTGTTTTGCAGGCGCTTTGGTCAGAATTGTAGCAATAGGAGCTCTGTGCAAAACTCAGCTAGGAAAGCAGTACTTAGCAGGCCAGGAAGCTGGCTCAGTATGCAAAGGTGAGGGTCACCAAGCCTGACTAGCCGAGGTGGATCTGTGAAGCCACCTGGAAGGAGAGACTGACTCCTACAAGTTGTTCTCTGACCCCCGCCACACACGTGCACTGTAGTGCAGGCACACCCAAACAGACATGCACACAGATGCACAGAAATAAATGTAGTTTAACAATTTAAAAAAATTGGGAGGTGGAAGGGAGAACTTTGGTTGGAATGTAAAATGAAATTTAAAAAATTAGAAGACGATATTTATTTCATGTTTATGGTGGAGGTCAAACCAATAATGCACTTGAAGGAAATATGGCAGGGAGAATAGAATGTAGGGAAAAGGAAAAATTAAATTTTAAAGTCAAAGACTAGAAAGGAAGGTGGAGGTCAGATCACGAAGAGCCTGGTGCACAATTCTAGGAAATGATGGGAGTCAGAGAAAACATCATCCTCCCAAGAAGCAGGTTTGAGGAAAACGATGGCCTGGCTGGGGCTTGCCTTTTAGAACATGATGTCCGCTCTGGTGAGATTAACAGAGACAAAAGTTTCCAACTCTTTAAGAGATTGCTTTAAAAGAAACTAGGGGAGAGACTAAGTGAAGGTTTCCCGTAATTTTTATAGTCAATAGAGTTCGCTATATTATACTCCGTTTTCTGTATGTCTACATTTTCTTATTTTTCCTGTAGTCGAAAGAAGCAATGAGCTTTTGGGCCATAGGAAGCTGTTAGAGGGGTTTAGAGAGGGCAGGAGACCAGGAGATGGGCTGGGAGTTCCAGAGCCAGCTGCCTGAGACATCTTGATGGCGGGGCTTTGAACTTCCCCTTGTCCAAGGACATCCGTGCTTTCTGTCTCCGTGAACTGTTCTCTGATGTCTGTGCTGCTATCAATACTTTCGCTGTACAAAGAACCAATGGCGCCTGGTGCCCAAGCGTTTCCCCAGGTCTTTTTAGTAGCTGCCATGTTTGCACTTACTCCAGCCCTCTGGAACTGTTTCTGATCTGAACTCAGCTTGAGAGAGAAACACTAACTACCTGAATAGTGGGGAGATGGAAATTGCCAAAATTCAGAGGGAGGGTTGGTGAGCAAGGCAGGAGTGTGGCGCTGAGGCAGTAGCCATGATTTCTATTTATCCGAGTATCTAGGTAGATGGTGGTGATGTTTACTGAGAAATCAGGTAAGGAGGAAGATACACTTTGGGGGGAGGAAATGGCAGTGTGGTTTGGGGCAGAAGTGGCAAGCATTTGCCTTTTCCATTCTCAGCGCTCTGAGAGCTTGGATGAACTTCACATTTCTCGGCCCTCTAAGCGTGATATCCAAGGTTAAAGAGAATGCCCCTTAGGCCCTCTATGCATCCCCAAACCTGGTGCACAACTCCAGCCCTGCCTGGTGCTTCGTCAGTGCTCACTAAATACAAAATTAAGCTGCCTTTTTTTGTCAGTTTAAGTAGCCTCCAAAACAATACAGAGAAACCTTGTCTCGTAAAACCAAAAAAAATGTTTTTTTCAGTGCAAAACGATTCAAAAGTAGATGTTCCATATTGTATCACCACAATGTCTTTTGCCATGGCCAAGATACCCTATAATATACATCTTCTCAGTCTAATGTCTTCCCTATGTCTGGGCCATAAGCTTGGTCAGTGGGCTTCCAATATCTTGTTAGAAATGTTAAACATTTCATGTGTTTTCAGAACAAATGCACGAAAACCAAGAGCTGATTTTTTCTGGACTCTTGGTTCTACAGGGAGGAATGAGGCAGAGTTTCATAGAAACATCTTCAAGTGGTTATTTATAGTCAAGTACTTTTATTTATGTAGCATCATCGATGAAAATTAGATTTCATGGAAATATGAAATTACATCTTTTAGCTTCCTGATGTTAATTGAACCCTGGCTTTATATTGTCTCTTGGCGTCCTCTAAACATGTTGTGCAGGTGAGAGACACTGTTTTTAGCCATCCTATGCATTCCCAAACTTGGCTGTGTGCCCACAACTGTGCTGAGTACTTGGTGTCTACTAAATAGTAACAATCATTCTTGTCTACCTGGGGAGTGAAATTAAAATACACTGCTTACTAACCCTTTCAATGCACCACCAACACCCAGCTGGAGGCATTTTCTTAATTGAGGTTCCCTTCTCTCAGATGG